ATGGAATTCTGGGAGTTATATTTTGGAGAAGCACCAGTACTCTTTGACATGGTAAACTGCAATTCCCATAACTTTGACCTATGGAATCAATGTGGCATCAAACTGAGTTAATTCTACACTGTAGCTGCACCATCAAGGTTTTATAGGTTTTTTGCTTCATAGTGCTATAATTCTGTCGCATAAAAAGCTCAAGGGCTGAGTAGATTGTCCATAAGGATGAAGTCAGCATTAAGGATTCGAAGAAATAAACTGGAACGGAAATATATGATGCATCTGATATAGAATTAAAACATATCATGCATCCAACATAGCCACGGGTGAGAAAAAGAAGACAATTTGGAGGACTGGCTGAGGTTACTCTGAATATTTTGAAATGGTGCCATTAATTTTCATTGCATGGCTTGGAAGGAAAGTCTGTGGAGGTTTTCTGCAGGAAGGGAAGCTTCCTCTGGAGGGAGGAATTAATGCAAAAATGTGAGAAGTTTGCATAAAGCTCAGAAGGATAATCGCAAGAAGAAGGAGATCTTTCAGTTTAAGAATCCCCAAGCATCATGTACTAATAACAGAGGGCAAGATTAGAGACCAGAGACAGTCAGCATTAGCCTAAGGTCATCCCAGGTCTCTGAGGGAGGGGTTTCCATACAGACATGGATGGGATTTATCTTCATTCTTGGTGAGATAAGAAGCTACTGGAGGACTTAATGACCTTCAGAAACAAATAACCCACTCTTGGTGGCTGAGCAATTAAGTGATACAGTATGACCTTCAAAGCCATGGGATCCATAACCACAATTTCATGTGCCAATCAAATGTCACCTTTATAGGTCCTCTAGTGCAATTCTATGTCATGCCTTCCCTGAACCTTGACCATTGAGGCACAGTGGAAGACCTAGAAATGCTAGAACAATGGCTCCTGTTGGCATATTCTGGGTCTTCCAGCACAATTCTGTGGCATGCCTCCCCATAGAGTTGAATTACAGGACCTAGAAATGCTATAATAATGACCTCTTTAGGCATTTTCTGGTTCCTCCACAATTATATGGTATGCCTCCCACTGATGTTGACTATAGAATTATACCGGAGGACCTAGAAATGCTAAAGCAGTGTTCTCGATTGTGTTCAAGGTTGCCCTGATAGGGGGACTTGGAGGTCTCTTCTTCTTGGATTCTCCATAAATCAAAGTCATATCATAGAATCA